AAAAAAAAAAAAAGTTGAAAGAGGTCAATCAGCCGCAACACTTGTTTTTTTTTTTTTCAGATCAGGTGTCACAGAATCACATTCACAAAATAGTGGGATAACATTAACACACTCACACACATGGAAACATACATGTGCACTGAAATGTTATCACCACTTTCCCGCACCTTTATCGATAAAATATGTTTGCAACTTAAAAGCTACGTGACATTTCTTAGTAGCAAGGTGGCAACGTCACTGTTCTTACAGCAGTTAACATGAAGCAGCTTTGCTATTAGTAGAGATGCTACTGCTGAACACACACACACACACACACAGGTTTGTTTTTGTGAAAAGTGGGGACATCCCATAGGCGTAATGGTTTTTCTACTGTACAGACCGTATATTCTATTGCCCTACACCAACCCTACCCCTAAACCTACCCCTCACAGGAAACTTTGTGCTATTTCAGATTTTCAATACACTCCATTCTGTGTGATTTATAAGCGTTTTGAAAAGTGGGGACATGGGATAATGTCCTGAAAAGTCACCTTCTCCTTGTAATACCTATGTCATACCCTTGTCATTATTGTCTGAGTCTTGAATACCTTCACATCAGTGACTAAATCCTCCATTACTAGCTTTAAAATCACGTTTCAGCTTGTTATGAGATACTTAATAAATTAGAGTTTCACTTTATTTTATGGTGTCATTGTTGCAGTGTATTTATATATTTAAGAACTGAGTAATATTAATTAACAATTACTTAATTATTAACTACTTACTAATAAGGGGTTGGGGTAGGGTTTGGTTTAGGATTATTGCATGTAATTATGTATAATTTACTGTTATTAGTATAGTAAGTACATGTGATGTGTAACAAGGACACTGTAAAATAAAGTGTTACTGTAATTATTCTACAAAAAAAAAAACTGAGGAAAAAAAACAACTTTTTTAACGTAAAACATCTGAACAATGTCTTGAGCTGTGGTAATTGTAGTATAAGCAGAATAATTAATGATGGGCTGTTGAATTATTGTAAAACAATGCAAAACCGAATGCATTCATAAAGCAGAGTGGCCATATACTTACCATAAAACTTCCCATAATCAATATTTATAATCAGCATTTACCAGCATGTTCCTATTTATTGTAATATTTTTAACTGAAAGCATCAGATGTGGCTAATGAGAAAGCTTAGAAAGCCACCTCAGTAACACTTTCTACAAAGCCTGTATTTAAAATTTATTATAAAGGTCTTGATGCATTATAATGCATGCATAATGACTTATAAATAGGGGTGCACATTTTCAGCCTGGTTCTCATAAGAGCACCTGGAGATTTGGTTTGTTCCTCACACATAGTGTGACCCATTAAATATATGTATATATTTATGTATATGTATATATAGCAATCTTTTATTTTAGCGGGTTGCTGGTATATGCACTGTGTTTAACTCTGCAGATTGAAGAGCGTCAGTAAATGAAATGTCACAGTTTTGCATTGTGCTTTGAAAACTGCAGCTGATAGCCTAGATTTATGCTTTCAGTTTGAATAGAAATCTTATACAGTATTACAGTTTTTTTGTTAATTGTGCATTGACAGCTGTCAACCATGTCAGTAACGCAAATGAGCGGTCTAAACTTATTTACACAGTGCATTTTTTTTTTTTTTTTGGTCGTGCATGCGCACCTGCATACCACTTATGTGCACCCCTGCTTATAAACAACCTTATATTATGTTGTATCATATGATAAATAATCATAACAACAGTTAAAATACAATAAAATGCTTACCTTTTTGTGGCTGTAACTTTTAAGAGTATGATGCATTATAACACCAGAAAGCCTGCATTTATAATGCATTGTAAGGTTATTCTTAATGCATTATAATGAAAAAGAAAAAAAAAACATGAATCTCATGAATAATCATAACCACAGTACTAAATACTTACCTATTTGTAGTTAGATATATTAAGACTATGATTTACAACAAACAATGAACATAATTGTATCCACTTAGTTTATAATGGATTATATATCCCACATTTGTGTATCTTTTACTTTCATCTTGATATTGTTTACTTAATAGATAATTATTTATTTAGATAATAATATCTGCTCAGTATCGTACTACATCCACTTAAAGCAAAGTGGCAAATCACAGTCTTCTTTCAAACATCCAAAAAGCTTTATAATGTGCTCATAAGATTTACAAGTGGTCTTTGCCTGCTTTAAGTAAAGTAACAAAGAAGGAGTCCGATGACGTCACGGAGCTGAGAGGGTAACACCCCCTTACGTGTTTTGCGGAAAGAACTAGATGCAGCTCGCTCAGCCTTAAATTAAATCTTAACTAGAAAGGCGGAGACCTCGTTGCTTTTTGCTAGGCAGAGACTATACGAATACGGTAATAAGCCAGGCCGTTTGCTGGCACGACTGGCAAGGGGCAGGAACGAGGCAAGCATGATTTCATTTGTTAAGGATGGCAAGGGCAGTTTCACTCATGATTCTAAACAAATTAACACAATTATGAGAGAGTTTTATCAGAAGTTATACTCATCAGAGACTAGTAGGGATGCACCGATACTGGTCTCCTGTACTCGTACTCGTTAAAATGCCCCGATACCAAACGCCGATACCACACAGCATGTGAACAAACAAAGAAACACCGACAACAGAACAACAGACAGCAGAAAGGAGTTAAGGATGTCTACTACGAAGTATTTGTATGCAATGAATATACGCATCATTCGACATTTTTTCGACTTTTAACTAGATAAAAAGTTAATTTCACATCTGTTTGGAGGTATATTTGGGAACAAGGACGGGGGTACTTTTCCGATTGAAAAAGGTCCAAAATCCCAATGAAATCTTGGATGGCAGCACATGCGAATGTGGCTACTCACTTAAGCTTACACGCAAAGTCACGGAGTGCATCAGCAAAGTTTTGGACGAGAAACTGTCAACATTCACGAATGTTTTGGATGCTATCTCGCAGCGCGTTGAAGACAACACTAAACGTATTACTGACGCAGAGCGCCGAGTGTCTGACATTGAAGACACCGCGACCTCGATGGAAAACAAGTACTGGAAAAAGTGGTATCGGTGCATCCCTAGAGACTAGTGTCTTAGCTGACTCGTATTCTTTTTTGAACCAAATTAAACTTATTAGTTTATCTGAGGAGCAACGGGCAGACCTGAATAAGCCCATCACAAAGGAAGAAGTGTTAGAGGCAATTAAGGCTCTGAAAGGTGGCAAAGCTCCGGGCCGTGATGGTTTTGGTCCGGAGTTTTACAAAAAAATTAGCAAATTTATTTTAGAACCTCTAGCAGACATGTACATTGTTTCATTTAAAAAAGGGGTGTTTACCGGCTACCTTAAACATGGCATATATTTCATTGATCCAGAAAAAAAACAAACCATCAGATGAATGCAGTTCTTACAGGCCTATAAGCTTATTAAATGTGGATTGTAAGCTGTTATCCAAGCTGTTAGCAAGAAGACTTGAATCACTCCTCCCTCAACTAATAAACCCGGACCAGACAGGTTTTATTCAACAAAGGTTGTCATATTCTAATGTCAGAAGACTGATAAACATAATACAGTATTCACAAATATCCAAAACTCAAGTGCTTACCGTTTCCTTAGACGCAGAAAAGGCGTTTGACCGTGTGGAATGGGCATATATGTTTGAAGTGCTGGGCAAGTTTAATTTAGGTACAGACTTTATTAACTGGATTCGGACTCTATACTGTGCACCAACTGCCTTCACTCTCTTCCTTTTCCGTTGGGGCGAGGTACAAGGCAAGGTTGCCCTCTGTCCCCTCTCCTTTTTGCCTTAATTCTGGAACCCCTTGCAGAGACTATCAGAACTCACACTGATATCCAGGGGGTTGAGATTGGTCAGTCAGTTCATAAAATTGCATTATATGCCGACGATATACTTCTATTTCTTACAAATGCGGAAACTTCTATTCCCACAGTTCTCAAGACTATTGATTCTTTTAGTTTG